GATGTGTTTATAAGATGCAAAGCAATGTGTGCTCATGTTTCACTTGAAGGAAATCACTTTATTTTTTCATATATCTCACTTTGATTATACATAGCTACTTAGCTAATATGAAAATGAATGTCATATTTCCTAGTTCCTCTGAAAGGCCCGCCCTTAAGTGACTCTGATTGGTCATCATCATAATGTGCTGCGATTCGCGTTTGGCTCCACGTCACGCCCGTAAAAGCACGTGCTTTTCTGCTGTGTAAACAATCAGTCAACCTCTTGACTACTCACTAAAATAACATTTGACAAGTGTCTGTAACGAGTGAAAATGGGGTCGGCTCCTTTAAGAGCGTTTGCCATTGTGTGTGTGCGTCTATGTGTGTGTGTGTGAATGTTTGAACTTTCTGTAACAAGCGCATGTGCACAGGAGTTTTTTTTTCTTTTTCTCTGATGCTCGGATTAAGTTTTTTTCTGTAATATATTGTGAAAGAAGAATAAAGCATGTGTGGGATGTGGGATGCTACCTGTGTGAGCCTTGATTTATTTTTCTGCTGCTACCACGAGTCAGGTGAGCATTCCTGTATTTTTTAAACTCTATGCGTTACACAACGCCTTTCACGTGTATCAGGAATATGCAGGTGTAAGTAATATGAATCATCCACGTATCTTTTGCAACTTCATTATCTGAGATGTGAAACGCATGGAAAAGCTGCCTAAAGACAATCAATGCAGTCGCGCACACACATAAGAAACACAAACGCGCTGGTGGAGTGTGTGTGTGTTAACTGCAGTTCGACTGATTAATATGAATTTGTAGCTAAATTGTTTGCGCTGCAAAGCAGCATTTGCTTTTGTCTACATCGTTGCTACAGCAGACCGTTAACGCTAGACACTGTACATGTCATGATCAATTTTAGCAAATAAAAACACTTACAGGTTGTAGTTTACAGCTTCTGCTTTGAGGAGAATTTAGCCGAATCCAGCACTGAACTGGGAGAGATTCTGGAAGCTGTTTTGTCAAATCATGCTTGCTATGTATTTTATAATTCTCTGGAACATAATTAATATTGAACTGTAAGCACTTCTGTCTTTGTGTGGTGTCCTTTGGAAGCCCAAATACAGAAATAGAAGAAGTTCTGTGGAAACAGCCGTGTTTGGACACATTTTTTGCTTCATCTCTGCTATAACTTTACAGCGCCACTGACCACGACCTTTAGCTGTGCAGTTTGTGTGTGCAGTAAGCAAACCTTTGTGATCTCACAGGGGGCAGATGTATTTTTTGTAGTCCCCAAAATTCATTCATTGTAGGCTTTGCTAAGCTAACTCTGTAAAAACCAACATCTCCCTTTGCATTGAACTTAGAACTTTTTACATTCAGAGATGTTGTTTATGTTCAAACAGCTACACATCAACTAAAGTTTAAAATATGATATCGTAGTGGACCACCCCTTTAAAGTGTTCACACAGAGAACAAGCATAGCCTAGTTTGTGAATCAACGGACTTGTGTGACTTTGATACAGTGCGAGTCGCAGACGTGAGGCTTGTGTGGGCTGGTTATTATAACTCTTAGCATAGTTAGGCTGGCTTGTGTAGCAAGCCAGACTACTGTTATCCTATTAAACTTATTATTATTATTCTATATTATTATTCTTCTTCTGAGACTAAAAATTAAACTCTATCTCGTCCTAGGCCTTTCAAGCTATGACCATCAAACTTGGGTCAGACCTCCGAACTATTCTGACTCGAGTTGCTATATCTTTTCCGACTGATCCGACTTTCGGTTTTCCGAAAAACGTCCCGGGACCGTCGGAAAAATCCCATAGACGTAACATTGGATCAAACTTTGCGACCTCATAACTCCGCGTCAGAATGTCACACAGACTTCTAACTAGGCTCATTTAACTCAGACCATCAATCTGCCAATGACTGATCACCTTTAAACTTTCTGGCCACGCCCTAGCAACCACTTTTGGACCCTAGAAACCGTCCCATAGACTTCCATTGCAAAAGACTCTCATTGACTTTACATTGGATCAAACTTTGTGAGCTCATAACTCTGCATCAAACTGTCCTACAGACTAATGGCTGAGCTCATTTAACTCAGTCTAGCCAGCAGCCAATCACCGATGGCCTTTTAACTTTCTAGCCACACCCTAACAACCAGATACTGCACCCTAGCAACTGTCCCATAGACTGCCATTAAAGAGGTTCAGACTGATATTGTCATGCTGCAGTGTGATAGAGACATGGGGATTGTTTTTAACTGTTCATACTGGCAAGAAGCTTGTATACATCATCAGTCTTAGCTGTCAATCAACTCCATAGCAACAAAACAGACTAACCTAGCAACGATATGACACCAGCTATATCTCAGCATCAGAACATCGTAGAGAGGCGGGGGTTGGCTTGTTTGACTCATGCTCATACACCATCTATCTATCTATCTATCTATCTATCTATCTATCTATCTATCTATCTATCTATCTATCTATCTATCTATCTATCTATCTACATCTTTCTATCTATCTATCTATCTATCTATCTATCTATCTGTCTGTCTGTCTGTCTGTCTGTCTGTCTGTCTCTATCTATCTATCTATCTGTCTGTCTGTCTGTCTGTCTGTCTGTCTGTCTGTGTCTGTCTGTCTGTCTGTCTGTATCTATCTATCTATCTATCTATCTATCTATCTATCTATCTATCTATCTATCTATCTATCTATCTATCTATCATGCTAACAATATGCTAATTCATGCTAGAAACATGCTAGTTACATGCTAATTCATGCTAGAATCATGCTAGTCACATGCTAATTCATGCTAGAATCATGCTAGTCACATGCTAATTTATACTAGAATCATGCTAACAACATGCTAATCCATGCTAGAATCATGCTATTCACATGCTAATTCATGCTAGAATCATGCTAGTAACATTCAAATTGATGTTAGAATCATGCTAACAACATGCTAATTCATGCTAGAATCATGCTAGTAACATGCTAATTCATGCTAGAATCATGCTAACAACATGCTAATTCATGCTAGAATCATGCTAGTCACATGCTAATTCATGCTAGAATCATGCTAGTCACATGCTAATTTATACTAGAATCATGCTAACAACATGCTAATCCATGCTAGAATCATGCTATTCACATGCTAATTCATGCTAGAATCATGCTAGTAACATTCAAATTGATGTTAGAATCATGCTAACAACATGCTAATTCATGCTAGAATCATGCTAGTAACATGCTAATTCATGCTAGAATCATGCTAACAACATGCTAATTCATGCTAGAATCATGCTAGTAACATGCTAATTCATGCTAGAATCATGCTAACAACATGCTAATTCATGCTAGAATCATGCTAACAACATGCTAATTCATGCTAGAATCATGCTAGTAACATGCTAATTCATGCTAGAATCATGCTAACAACATGCTAATTCTAGCTAGAATCATGCTAGTAACATGCTAATTCATGCTAGAATAATGCTAGTAACATGCTAATTTATGCTAGAATCATGCTAGTAACATGCTAATTCATGCTAAAATCATGCTAGTAACATGCTAATTCATGCTAGAATCATGCTAACAACATGCTAATTCATGCTAATTCATGCTAGAATCATGCTAGTAGCATGCTAATTCATGCTAGAATCATGCTAACAACATGCTAATTTATGCTAGAATCATGCTAGTAACATGCTAATTCATGCTAGAATCATGCTAACAACATGCTAATTCATGCTAGAATCATGCTAGTAACATGCTAATTCATGCTAGAATCATGCTAACAACATGCTAATTTATGCTAGAATCATGCTAGTAACATGCTAATTCATGCTAAAATCATGCTAACAACATGCTAATTCATGCTAGAATCATGCTAGTAGCATGCTAATTCATGCTAGAATCATGCTAGTAACATGCTAATTTATGCTAGAATCATGCTAATTCATGCTAGAATCATGCTAACAACATGCTAATTCATGCTAGAATCATGCTAACAACATGCTAATTCATGCTAGAATCATGCTAGTAGCATGCTAATTCATGCTAGAATCATGCTAACAACATGCTAATTTATGCTAGAATCATGCTAGTAACATGCTAATTCATGCTAAAATCATGCTAGTAACATGCTAATTCATGCTAGAATCATGCTAACAACATGCTAATTCATGCTAGAATCTTGCTAGTAACATGCTAATTAATGCTAGAATCGTGCTAACAACATGCTAATTCATGCTAGAATCATGCTAACAACATGCTAATTCATGCTAGAATCATGCTAATTCATGCTAAAATCATGCTAGTAACATGCTAATTTACGCTAAAATCATGTTGTAACATGCTAATTCATGCTAGAATCATGTTAAAAACATGCTAATTCATGCTAGAATCATGCTAATAACATGCTAATCTATCTATCTATCTATCTATCTATCTATCTATCTATCTATCTATCTATCTATCTATCTATCTATCTTTTTATAGTTTTAAAAACTGTTTAAACTAAATAAACTATTACCGTCAGGCTTTCACAAGCCAGCCTCAAAGTTTGTTCTCAAACTTTAAGAATCTAGTTACATTTACATTTGCGTGACTGTTTGCTTTATACAACTGAGAATGTAGTCCTAGTTGAAGCGCAGCGGTTGGAAATTTAAGCCACAGTTATGTCTGTGATTAACAGTGGGGCCGTTTTTGCCTGTGAGTTCGAATTAGCCTATTTAATCACAGAAACCGGAAAATGCCATTAGTACCATAATTTTAATATGACATATTTAATGATGAAATCAAATAAATATAAAATTATAAAATTTAAGTTATTTTAACCAGCAGGATTGCTGATGCCCACAATGTGAAGAACCCCAAAAGGTGCCTCCGGGAACTTTTAAGTTTTACAGTGCACATAATAAACATTTTTACAGTATAAAATACTTTACGCCAATGGGGAGTCCCTGTAAACCTTATATACAAGTTTGTGACTGTATGTGTTCACTCACCTCTGACACCCCACACACACCAGGACGATTAGGATGGTGACCACAAAGGCAGAGGCGGCTGCGATGGCGCCCAGAATCAGCACCTTCGGGAGATCTGAAAACATTCCCCTGAGCTCAAGACACACACATACACACACACACAGGTCCTGCCGAAGGGCTCGTCCACTGCACCTGCACATAGAGAGAGGGAAAGAGAAGACCCGATCATCAGTCGGCGCACTGGACTCACTCAACAATCAATAAATCACTATCAATAAACAAAGACATTGCACTGATATATTATGATAATCACTATTGACTGTTTGAATTCCTGCATCAAGGACAAGACTGAAATGCCTGAAATGATTAATTATTTGCCTAAATATATATTTGCTCATCATTTACACACCATCTACTGATTCACAACTTATTTAAAAAAAGACTTATTTTGGGAGGATATTTTGATTTCCCAGTACTGGGTTACAGCTGGAAGGGCATCCAATATGTAAAACATGTGCTGGATAAGTTGGCGGTTCATTCCGCTGTGGCGACCCCTGATGAATAAAGGGACTAAGCTGAAGGAAAATAAATTAATGAAGATATTTTGAAGAATGTTGGAAACCGCTAGCCATTGACAAGGTAGGGAAAATACTATATGTCAATAGCCCCTTTTCACACATACAGACTTGTCCAGAAAATTACCAGCAATTTTCCAAAAAGGTATCACGAGTGAAAAGGCCCTTTTTGAAAATACCGATAAATTAATTCCGGCAATTTCCCTGAAAAAGAGGTTGCAACATTAACAGTAATTTCCCAGAATGCTGCGCTGTGTGGAAGAGGAAGGAACATTGCCGGAAAGAGCGCTTTCACGATTAAAACGGGCTGATGTGAGACGTCTACTCCGGCCATTCAGAACATTCAGACGCATTCACATCCATGCTGTTTATGAAAATAAAAACATATTTATTCAGATAATGTTACTAAGTTCCTTCTTAATGCAAAACTGTGTAAAAATATATCGATAAGATGCTTATGATAAACCACTGTTAGTTTACCTTCAAGCTCTGCTTCAGTTGTTTGACACATATGCATGTGAAGGAGCCGGTGAGTGCCAGCACGTGCACATATTATGTTCATTTCAACATGCAAATTATGTACATCTCCGCAGCTAAAGCTTTAAATAAAATTGAAACCATCAACAAAAGCCCGACCCCTTTTATGATTACAAATATAAGCACAGCTGCTTAGAGGTCATTTCTAGTTAATAAGGTCAGAATTTACTGATATTTTAGAATGGATGTGTGAATGGTCTTTTCCAGAAAAATTCCAAAAGCCTGTGTAAACAACATTTTTTGTTTTAAAGGAAGAAGAAGGAAGATTGCCGGAAAGAGTGAGATGTCTACTCCAGAATAATTCCAGAATGTCTTTGCTTGTGTTAACAGCGTTTTTTTTTTTTTTTTATTTATTTACCAGTAAAGTCGTTCCTGCAATTTTCCGGACATTTACCAATTTTTTTTACAAGATGATAATTTTGTCATATCGGAATATATGTACTGTAATATCATTGTTTCATTTTCTTTCAACTTGGTCTCTGTTTTAGAGGTTGCCACAACAGAATGAATCAACTACTCCAGCATATGTTTTACGGAGTGGCTGCCCTTCTAGCCACAACCTAGTACTGGGAAACACCCATATGCACTCATTCATACTCACTCTACAACCTAGAGCTTAGAGGAAACCGGAGCACCAGGAGGAAACATAGGAGAGAACATGCAAACTCCACACAGAAATGGCAACTGACCCACCAGGGACTTGAACCAGCAACCTTGCTGTGAGGCGACAGTGCTAACCACTGAGCCACCATGCTGCCCCATATATCATACTTTTCATTTAGTATATTTTTGCTACGCAAACTCAGCTAAAGCAAGAATGTTAACTCAACTAATATAGTTTTGCTCTTCTATCATTTTAATAATGAACCTTTCTGTAGAGATTAAATAAATGGAAACTAAACAATATAAAGGCATCCCCACATGTGAAACAAATAAATATTTAACATTATACCAGGGTAATTGTTTAAAAGAGCTGTTTTTTTTTGTAGCTGTGGAAATGTATGGTTTGGGGCAAGCATTAATTATTCATATGTTTTATCTTACTTAGCTTTGCTCCCATTAGTTTATGTTCCCCATCCCAGCTAAAAGCAAACTTTCAGGCAAGGTGGTAAACAGATATTCTGCTATCATCTCACTGGAAGAATGTTGTTTTTAACCTTTTCTGAATGTTCTAATAATAAAATAAAAATAATAATAAAATAATAATAACAACAATAAAAATAATACTCATCATCATCATCATAACACTAATAATAAAAAGTTTTAAACTGTGAATTTTTTTAAAGATTGCTAATTTAATAATATAAAAAAACACTTTCAAACATTTATTTATGAATAACTATAGGTTTACTACTACTAATATATATCTGTGTGGATATCTGTTAAAAACATAGCTACTACACAAAAACAATAATAAAACCACAAAATAATCCATGGTATTTGAAGTAAAATTGTGATTATAAATTCATTCATTCTGTCAGAGTCAGTGGGTGGGAAAAAGGAGTGAGGCCTCAATTGCATAAATAATAGGTATTTGCTAATAATAAAATAAAATAAAAGGCAAAACAGCAAAATCAACTACCCAGAGGGGGAAAACGTTAACAAAACAAATAAATACACAAACAAACCGAACTAGACTGGGCAGGCTGGCTGGGATCAGGACTGGAACAGACACACAACAGGACAAGGCAACATACAATGACAAACTGGCACAGGACAGCAGACATGAGGAGATTATAAGCAGAAGTAAATTAACACACAGGTAAACAAACAGGTGTATCTAGTAAACTAATAATGGGTTAAGGAGGGTGGGACTAGACAATAGAGAGCACATCACACAGAGACAACACAAGCCATGTGCTCACATTTGATTTGATTTGATTTGATTTGATTTGATTTGATTTGATTTGATTTGATTTGATTTGATTTGATTTGAATTGATTTGAAACGAGACTTGAACACGCAGCCAATTAGAGAACTCACCATGTGTTCATATGAAAGACTAGCACAACACTAAAGCACACAACAAAAGCACGCAGCCACAATGTAAACAGAGCCACGTGCTTAGACAACACCAACATAAACAGACGCAAGACACGAGCACACGATAGATGAAAACACCTTATCGTGTACTCACACATGTGCAAAGCACATGTTTCATCTCAGTGACAACTGAAACGAAAACCAACCAGACTGAGATGCTGAGAATGAAACAGCATGTTGCCGAGAGAACATAACAAACACGAGTACAAGAGCGCGCAGTGGAATGAACCACCAACTTATCCAGCACATGTCTTACACAGCGAATGACCTTCCAGCTGCAATCCAGTACTGGGGAACACCCATACACTTTCACATGCACAAACATACACTAGGGCCAATTTAGTTTGTTCAGTTCACCTATAGCGCATGTCTTTGGACTTGTGGGGGAAACTGGTGGGGGAAACATGGGTAAGGAAACACATGTAAACATGGCGAGAACATGCAAACTCCACACAGAAATGCCAACTGACCCAGCCGGGGCTCAAACAAGCGACCTTCTTGCGATGAGACGACAGTGCTAACCACTGAGCCATGGTTTCGCCCTGTGAATTTACAAAGGGTAATCATTCAATCAAGACTACACACACACACACGCACATATATATATAGCCAAACTTTGCTAGGTGTTTTAAGCATTAAGCTAAAAGCTAAACGTGTCTGACTCACCTAAACTCCTTCATATTACTTCTTCACATCAGTGACAGTCATGACAGCTGTTTAATCCATCTCTGTGTACAGCAATGCCAGGGATTAAGTCTGAAGTTTAATATTAGTTGCTGAGGCATGCCAGCAAAGCTAAGCTAACAGTGGCTAAGCTAAAGTCTCAGTCAGCTTTCAGTCATGAAGATAAGCACTTTACAAGTCACTATTATTTTACATGACTCTCTCCATCTGCTTCATGACTTAGTGCTACATGAGTGAAGAGATCATATATTCACTTTTTGAAAACTTTTACCATGGTAATACCATGTTTATTTGATGCTATAATATGGTATCTATTACAAGAAATAGCTTTTTGTCATGATTAGCTTTTATCATAAATGATTTCATTATAGTAAAAGTGTAGTAATTGTCAGTTTTAGGGCTCTGTTCTATTGATCTAGGTACAAAGTCTAAAGCGTATGGTGCAGAAGCATTAAGGGCGTGTCCAAATCCACTATTGGTATTTTAAAGATGGAAAAGTACACTCTGCACCAAGACGCATGGTCTAACAGGGTTGTGTTTACTCTCTTAATGAGTTATGGGTGTGTTTTGAGCATAATTAATCAGTCTCATCTCCCATTCCTTTTAAGAGTCAGTTGTGCCACGCCATGGCCTTTTTGCTTTTTTACATGGTAGACTTTGTAAGTGGAAAACCGAAAGCTTTACTAGCGGGAAACAGTTACACAGACTATCTGCAGCGCAACGGTAACGAACGACCCTCCTCCAAACGACCTCTTTACTTTCACTTTAATTTACTTTTACTTATTACTTTACTCCTTTACTTTCTCTTTACTTTACTTTTACTCTTTACTTTCATGGAAGATTTCCAGTAGCCTATATATTTAATTTTGTTTGTTAAGCGCAAAGATTTGTTTCAAAACAATTTCTAAATTCAGTTCTAATTTCCAGAAGTTATATCCAAAAACACGTCCTATTCTTATGCCCCATAGTGATGCAGACGTCTCTAAAAATCCAACAGGTGGACAAATCTAAACGTATATTTATTAAAACAAATATAAATATGCATATAATAAATAATACTGCTAATAATAATAACATAGGAATGCAAGTTGTCATGAATGAACTGAAAAAAAGCCCCATAAAATGAAAAACATTTTAATCATATATATTTTTCTTATGTAAAGATATTGCTGTATATCCTGTGTGTATGAAGCAATGTATAAATGTTTGAATCCACATATGTGCATAACTAACGTGCTCTGCACTGGTTTTTAGACCAGCTATATGAGTTGATCAATGGTGCAGTCAATTGCAGTTCCTCAAAATAGCAACGCCAAACAATGCACCTTAAAACACCTCCTTTTCAGACCAGCA